TCTACGACGTCGTATGACAATCAGAGCGCAGCTAAGAAATGGGCTTTCAAAGGTCTAATATCCTGAGTAAGATTGGGCCTTGAAGCCTAAATATTTTTGAAACAATTGGCACCTAGGTTTTTTTTTTTTTAATTGGCACCTAAGTTATTATGCTACAAGGTTGTTATTGCCCACACATTTGAGCAATATGTTTTTTTTTTCTTTTGAAATTAAGATTCATAGTAATTGAAAGTTGCATGAATGAATAGTTAAGTAAAATTACAAATGTTGAATAACATTTTGGAGGCTAAAACTGAACCCTAGTAGACATGACTTGTAGTTAAACCATGATCAATTTAAATGTTAGAAAATGAAAACATAATACAGGAGGAGTAAAAGGGTGAAGGATACCCAAAAGTAGGTGATGTGAATATTATATAGTCATGGGACTTCATGATTCATGTTTTGAAATCATATAACAAAAAGCCAATCTTTTGTGACATCCTATCACTTGACGTTCGACCCAACCCAACACTGTCTCTTCAATCCTTTATCTTCTACGTTTTTATATTTCTGCAATCGTCATTTTCTATAGAAATTGTGTTTTTTTATATATATAATAAATATGAATTTAAAATGACAATAAATACTCGGCAACTGCATAAAGAACAAATCAAGTTAATAGTTATTCATTAAATACCTTCTGCATCACGTGATATATGCTGCCCTAAAAGATTTGTAATCATGGAATCTCACATAGATCTTCCCAAGTAAAAAGAAAAACAAAAATAAATTCAACTTATTCTTCTTTGTAAAGAATTTGGATGCAAATATAACTCTTTTAAGGTAACATACCAATTGAGTAAAGTTCTTAAAAAACATTTTTCTGATTTGTGTTCTGTATATTGAATTATTGATATATAAAAAAAATTGTAACTAAGAAGTTTGCGATCGACCATAACAAATTATTTTAAATTTCTCATAAATAAATTGGAGAATCTAATAAATTGTAATTCTTATTCCGTGGATTTGAATTAATACGCATAAAATGAATAGTACATGACGATAATGATGATGATATGCATGAGAGAGTGCTACGCATGCAGAAGGAAAAAGGTGACAAGAAGGGAATAAATTTGCTAAACCATAATTATGATTTGCGCGGGCGACTTGTAATTGTTCTTATTAGTATTTAATCCACTTTTTGCCAACCTTTTTTTTTTTTTTTTTTGGCCAACCTTTTTACCCCAATGTATATATAGTGAGTCGAAGGAATTGAACCTATACTCCTTTAGGATGTTTCAGGCTTGAAGTATTACAAACAGTTTTCGTAGACAAATTATAAGTTTTCACAACAATAAAGCTAGCTAGCTATGATAAATTTAAGACTAGTTATTTTTTTTTATGGAAATGTGTATATAACCACACAAAAATTTAAGACTATCTTTACACAAAAAAAAACAGTTAGATTCTCATATATATTAATGGTCCGATTTATGTCAATATGTAAAATTGGGTTTTTACGTTCAAAGTGCATAAAATAAAGTAAAGACATGAACATATAAATTTGACATTCACCATAATTTTGTTGATTCTCTTATGGAAGTTTTACTTGATGAAATCGTTGATGCTCGGTGTTAAAAGAACACATTTTCACATTTGTTAATTTTGTTTTTTAAATATAAAACTAAACCTTACAATACAGAAGTTGAATCCAATAGCCTGTAATGCTCTGGAAAGCAGAAATTTGAGACTTTTATTAAATGGTTCAATCATAGCACTGACATCTTCACAATCCGACAAACCCGCTATATCAGTTTTTACTTTCATTATCATTGAATGCATATAAATATCAAACCCATTGGCCATAAACCTAATGCATAAGTATGAGAAAACTAAAATAAATTGGCAGACGATATTACTACGATGAGTCTATAAGCTACAGTGTACCTAGCTACTTCAACTTGAATGTTTTGTTTTTCAAATGGCCAGGTTTTTTTTTCTTTTCTAAACGGCCAAGTTAACTATCGTAGTCGATTGAATCCAACAAACCGTGAAACTTCATTCTCGCTAATCCCAGTAAAAAAAAGGAATTTGATTTAAATTTAGTAGTGAACTTTAAATCTTTATAGGAAAAATTATTTCAAATTATCAATGTTTTGAATTAATTTTTTTTTTTCAGTTCTTAAAATTTGAGAGAGTATGAGGTGTTGATGGCCAAAAATAGGGGGTGGGTAGATTTCAGGCAATAAATAGTGAGGAAGTACGTATTATTATGAGTTGGTGCAATTAATATCTTGAAGGGGTCAGCTATTATTGTTCAAATGGATTTATGACAATACTAACTCCACTTTTATGGAAGTTTGTTTCTTTTTTTTTCACTCAAAACTTAAAACTAAACAAAAAGTAGGGATTTGTCGAAGCAATTTTGTCTAGGAGCATAAAGGAGATCCTGAAGGTCGTGGGAGTGATGAGTGCGACATATCAATCGACTGTAGGGAAAGATGTTTAAATTCCTATTGCTAATCTATAATGTATCAAACAATTATGTATATTCCATTTATTGTAATATTAGAGACTGGCCATGTCAAGAAAAAGAGAGAAGTGATTAACCCTTTTTAACCCCAAAGATCTTACCCTTCTTTATGTAGCCCTTAGAGATAGTTGATGGGTTTAATTAAGTCATATAGGTTCAAACTTTAGACGTCTTACTTACTGTTGTTATTCATCTTTACCCCGAGCCTTGGATTCTGTAATCCACTGCCTCTAGTGGATTTAGTAAATGGACCCATTAATTGGAAGTTGTCTCACACCGTCGCATAAACCAGAAGTGAGGAAATTGTTATATTCGCATCAACATGATCATTCGAAATATTATGGGTTGGCTGATTTTATAGCCATAAACTAGTTGCATTCTCAGCTTTTCCCCCCAACCTTTTTGCCTCTGAAAATTCCACCATAAACTTAGATAATTCTCACAATTGCAACATGTACTTTCGGATTCATCCTTAAAACTACGCCTCCAATTGAACCGGCCAATAAACCGGTACCACATAACCCGGTTTGATTTAATTCAAATTTAACCAAATTTAAACCTGATTTTGACCCGAATCTTCTTCCTCTTCACCTGATTTTGACCCGAATCTTCTTCCTCTTCACCCGATTCTGACCAGAATCAGTAGTATCAGATCCAAATGTCAATGGATTCTATATCTGGAGATTTTCAAATTCCTCAAATCGTCTTCTGGATTTCAACGATAAGAACAAGCAAGAACCCTAACAATTGATCATAAAAATCTATGCTACAATCGAGAGCTTATGAATCGAAATCCCCAGATAGAAATTCGAAATCGCGATCGCCATAACCAATATAACAAAATTTGAATTCGATTTCAGCAGAACTGAGAAACGAAAACATAAACGGATGTACAAGCTTTTGGTAGAAGTGGAAAAGAGAAGGTCCGAGAAATTTCTTCCGTTTCTGGAAAACTTCATCGGCGGAATGACCTTTATACGGTCGTGGCTGGTAATCGAACGGCGGAAGAAAAAAAATCATGAGTTTAAGAGGAAGAAGAAAAAATAAATCGGGTCAAAATCGGGTGAAGAAGAAGAAGATTCGGGTCAAAATCGGGTTTAACTTTGGTTAAATTTGAATTAAATCAAACCGGGTTATGTGGTACCGGTTTATTGGCCGGTTCAATTGGAGGCGTAGTTTTAAGGATGAATCCGAAAGTACATGTTGTAATTGTGAGAATTATCTAAGTTTATGGTGGAATTTTCAGGGGCAAAAAGGTTGGGGGAAAAAGCTGAGAATGCAACTAGTTTATGGCTATAAAATCAGCCAACCCAAATATTATACTACCATAACTATTTATTAAAAAAAGCTGTCAACTATATATTAATAAATAAATCTAAATTTATCATCCGTTTCTTTTTGGACTGAGATACATTGCAACGTGTACGTGGACACTGGACTGATACAAATCGATCGTTACCGTAATTTGGGATTTTTACGTTACTATTAATCATTTTAAATAGTTTATTTATAAGTAACGGTTGTAGTGATCAACGTGACAACATGCATGGTTCATGCTTGTATACTAATATATTTTTGTCAGTTCGTAACGTTTTTGTAGCTAATATATATGAATATATGATGAATATCAAGAAAATTACATATGAACAACAAAAACAATCACTACAAGACGATCAAAGTTCCAACATTTTTTTTTCGTTTCTGCTCTTAACAATGAGTTGGTATAAAATGAGTACGAATAATAATAACTTGCTGCAATTGTTTTCAGCCAAAAACAAAACCCATTCTTAGTCTAGAACTATATTCTTAGAAAATAAACTAAAGCCTACGAAGAAAAATATGCTGGAGGTGATACTTTATTATTCAAATTACAAATGCTCTTTATCAAAGAAGATAAAAAAATTACAAATGCTCATATTTATATTTCTGTTGTTAGTTATTTTTTATTATTTTGTATTTTGGGTTATACTGTAGATATTGCCAACGTCAACGTTTCTTTATCCGGGAAAAAGGCTGAGAAAATAAAGAAAAGCAAACGGAAACGGTAGGCGCAAAGGTGAACCCCGTTGGAAAGTTGCTAAAACTATTTTTAGTGAGGCAACAAAACAAAAACCAACCAAAAAAAAAAAAACTATTCACAGTTTCTCTTTTTACTTCTTTTCTAATCTCTCTCTTCCACTTTTATGTGTTGATGTTGTTAGATCTGAGGTCTATTAAAATCCGAATCCTTTCGATCTCTTCTCTTATTCCATCACAACCATCTAGGGTTTTAAGCCAAGCTTATATAGCCCATCATAACGAGAACTCATCTGCCTCTATCTCTCTCTAAATATCACCACCGTCCTTCTCTCCCATCACTATTCCATCTATCAAAATACTCCTTTGTGTCTCTCCAATTTTATGAGAGGGTTTCCTTAAAGAACACTGGAAATAGATTGGATCTTTAAACTTTTGTTCCTTTTCATGAGGGTTTGACAAAGAGTTTCTTACAGACATCTTTGGCATTCTGTCCACCTCCTCCTGTACATGTGTGTATATATATGCGTTTTGTGTGGAAGAAGGAGGTGGGTATACTGCCAATAGAGATCTGTTAGGGTTTCTTCGTAAAACCCTCTTGATCTATATACAACTTTATCAATGTCTTGAATCTGACGATCTTGACTTGTTTCTTGGCTATGAAGAGCCTCGATCTAGGGTAATTTTACGATTAACCATCTTCTTGATTCTCTCGTTTCTCTTTGTTTGAGTTCATACATAAAGTTGTTTTTTAATATTGATCCTTCACTGTTTCTTTTTGTTGAGCTCTTCATTTCATTTCTTGATTCTGTTACATAGTTTTTTTAAGCCATGTATAACCTTCGATTTTTCCTCATTTATAGTGAGTAGTCTTTGGACTATATAGTCTTCTAGAAAAAGGTTAAACAGTAAGAAAAAGAGAAGGACCCATAATTTCAAAAAGGTATGCAAAGGTTTTGTTTTACTTTGAGAAATGGTAATGTGGGAAAGGAGAAGCATCTTGTTTTGAAGTCCACGATGTTATCATGATGTTCCCTTATTCTATTTGAAGTTGAAGAAACTGTAGTAGAGATTACGTGTACTCCTTCATTTGGTATCATTTCTGACCTATATATCTACACAAAGTTCATATATAAATTACTTGCTATATTTTGATCATGAGTTGAAAATAATTCATATTTGTTTTTAGTTTCCACTAAGATTTGTTCGTTGATCATAGTTATTTGGGTATGCATGTATCACATTTTATGATAGTTAATTACAATGCTGGTTAGTAAATGGTGGTTATCACTTATCAGTGTGGTTTAAGTTTGGCATTTCTGGTTTTACGTTAGTATATTAGAAAATTATTAGATCATAAATTTGCAAACTTTGTATTAATTCAATGTTCTAAAGTATATAATCAGCTGTGCAAGAAAAAAATGTTCTAAGTTAGGAGCTTTCCAATTAATAAGAAAAAATTTATGTTCTCCAGATCAATACTCACATCTATATCTGATGTTTTTTCCTATCAAGGAACGAAGAGTTTGCTAGTTTAATTAATTTGCATGGAGATGGAGCTACAATATGAGAGAGTGATATTGCTCTCCCACTTGATAAAGGAATTGGTGAAGAATGTTGTGATGATATCATAAAGGATACTCACTTATCAAGCCACAAAATCCCAAATCATTAATGTTTGTTGTCTCATGACTCTCATTTTCCACAAATGTTGTAAATTGGGTATTATGTAATGTATTCAACAATCTCTCAATTTGTGAAGAATAACCAGTTTGGGTTTAATATTCATGAATTATAGGGTTCATATAAAAGATTTTGGTACTTCGATGAATTTCAAAGTCTTGTAAAGTTTGCTCTACATAATACTTCACCACTCTTGACGTTTACTTACTTAGGATGAAAACCCGTTTTCTACGGTATTTATTTAAAGCTACAATAAATTTCCTTTCAAAGTTCTACTCACTAATAAAAAAGGGTATTCAGTTTTAGCTATGTATATATATGTTTGGATTTATATGTGTTTAGAAGCTCAAATATTTTCTTTACAAAAAGATACATTCTTAAAACATATATAGAAGGAAAAATAATACCAAAAAGATATCAACTTAAAGGCCACAATCTTGATCTGTACATGAGATATTCATGCATTAGTTTTCAACCTAGTTATGACTTATGAGTTGATTTTAAACAAATAATGAAATGTGGTTTTAGACTTTTAGTTGACTCTACAATCTACATAACTCATTTGTGGACTATCAAACCAAACTTCGTTGCGGCCTTGCGGGAGCAATCAAGCTTACATGGTTATCCGGGAAATGGGTTCCAATCAGGAATAGGTATGGGCTTCAAGCCCGACATACACATTCTGATTTCGACTTATTAATGTTCTACTGATGTCTGTAATATTGGATTTTTTTTGGGAATCATCGTTTTTTATATATCAGAAAATGGATCCATCATATATCCATATCGACACGCTAGTAATGGTATCAATTTAATAATAAAACGATTTTTAATGGTTAGATCTAAGAATATGTTTGTTAGAATATTAGTTGTGCTAACTTTTTACAAAATAATACAAAAAATTGTCCCAATATTCTTAATGTGTAATGGATGCCATGTATAACAACATTATTCTATGTGCATTTACACGTTAATTCGATTTTTGTATACAAGAAGTACGAAAAGTATTTAATAAAGCAGACTTTCAGAGGATATGCGAATCTATCACACGTGCCACTAAATTTGTCTTTTCTGATAGAAAAAATTTGAAATACAAAACAAATAAAAGTAGCTCACGAGACTATATTATTACTCACGCACTCATCCCTTATATATTAATAGAGAATTATTTTAAAAAAAACCCTTACCCTCATGTGTTATTAACAAGATTGCCACGCTGATGTGTCGTTCTCACAATGATTTGACTTCTATTTAGATAATTACCCAAGATTTATTAGACTATTTACAGAATTTGCCATTAGTCTTATACATCCATATATCCCATTAATAATTAAAAACATACACTTTTTGTTTATCTTATATTACTATATTTTTATATTTATATTTTTCTTTATATATATTTATATAAATTTTTTTTAACGGATGGGTAAACAATCTTTTTATTTATATTTATATTTATGTTTATATTTAAATGATAAAATATATACATTTGGTTCAAGAATCTCGAATTCAAAACTACAAAATCTTTACATCTTTCATAATTTTTTTACTTAAATAAATAAGATAATCTCCTTTCTAGCTATATATATGTTACGAATACTTAAAATCCTATTTTTTGGAGGAGTTCTAACTTTTCGAAGAAAAACATTATAACCACATTTGTATATAAACCAAAATATGGCCACATTATAACCATTTCGTAAATAATCCATTCATAATCTAAGAATCTTAGATTTGAAACACTACAAAATCTTAGCTTGGAAACTATCAAATCTCATCTTTGCTAAATTTTGGATTTCTTATACTTATTAAAAAAAAAAAAAAAAAATTCTTTTTATACTACAAAATCTTGAAATCTTTAAAACATACGGAAAGACATATTGCCATAAATGGTAACATTTCGTCAATACTTTTTTATCACGTTGAAACTTTATTCAAGGTTCAAATATTTCACGGGTAAAACATATTCTTATATGAAATAGTCCCAAATTTGAATAAAACAAAAAAAAATTTGTAACATGTTTCGTTTTACACAAACGGATCTTGGATCCCGGATAATAATTTTACTTGAATCACTTCATCCCGCACTATGTGCGGGTTGTTATCTAGTGTTACGTTATTTGAGATTGAAATCGCTTAATAAGATGATGTACCATAAGAGTAGGACTAAGAATCTTGATTGGTTTAGACAAACATCAGTTAAGTGTATTAATTGTATATACTAACCATAAGAGAAAAGAGAACAAAGCAAAGAAAAACATTTCCCAAACTATACGATATATAAACTGAATAATAATTTTTTACGATACGAGGAACTGTGATCGAATTTTAACAAAAAAAAAAAAAAGGAACTGTGATCGAATCAAAATCTTAATAAAATAACTGATAAAAAATTTGAAACTATTAAAAGATTACACAATGGAAAAGTCTATAGTAATGGAATTGGGGCGGCTAAACATAGCATAATATGGTTGAATTAATTTAGTACTACTATAGTAGCAGGTTTGTGCTGACTCCACTCTCACGAGTCACGACGATCATGGATTAGCTGGTTACTACATCCGTTGACTAGTCAACTGTGTTGACACTTGACAGATGTTTTAGTTGGTTTAGAATTTAGAGTCACCATAAACCCTTTTGTCCAAAAAAAAAAAAAAAAAAAGAGTCACCATATATAAACCCAAGTGAAAAAAAAAACAATTTCTTTAACGACAGAATATTTATTTATAAATTTTTCCGTTTTAAGTCCTTTTTTTTCCTTTTTAAAAGTTCCATTTTAATTTCTTTCTATCATAAAATTTTAATTATTAAATACATTCTCTATACATGGATATTTTTTTTGGAAATACCATAAATCAACCAATATCATACATTCATACGAAACACAAATTTTTATTTTTTATAAAATAAAAGAATACTTTTTTGTTTTTTTGTCAAGAATACTTTGTTTTTTTCTTCGGAAAAATGGAAGAATACAAGACTTACAAGTATAGAAAATAAAAATAAAAAAGTGAAGATGCCATTTTAGTTTGAAAAACAAAAATGGTCCAAAAAAAAGAAGGTTACTGTAAATAACAAAATTGATTAAAAATGGCAACATAACAAAAAAATGTCGACAGATTCACGAAACAATTTCGACATAACGAGAGACTCAATGCATCTGTCACGCGCGCTCTTTCCATTTCTTCACGTTTCCTTTTTTTTTTTTTAATATCCTATAAATACACTATCGACACGGGTTCTTATTTTTTCCCTTCGACTCCACGACAATACTTAAAGCCAACTACTTGGTTAAGTCTTTAGCTTATTTTCGTCGGAAAGTTTAGATAGAATGGGATCTCTCTCGGCGTTTGAAGAGCGGTTGCAGTATCCAACGGCGAGGCGTGATGAGTCCGTCGTTGAAGATTATCACGGCGTTAACGTCTCCGATCCTTACCGCTGGTAAAAGGCGTTTGCGTTTTCAGCTGTGACTATCTACTCTTGTTTTTTTTTTATTATGATAACGTTGTTGTTGTGTTGAGTTGACGGAGATTTTTTATTACCGGACAGCTTTTGAATTTTCTGCTGTCTGTTTATCGTAATGAATGATATTTTTAGATCATGACCAATCGCGTAACGAGCTTTTTTGGACCAACTCTATCGATTTTTTGGCCCATTATTGATCTTACTGGTCCAGTATACTAATTTCTGGACCAATTTTTGTTTGTTTGCTCATTAAATTCCCGGTTTGGTACAATCGTAAATTTGGTTTGGTTAGGATTCGGTTAACAAAATTGATCGATTCTCTCTTGGTAGGTTGGAAGATCCTGACGCTGAAGAAGTGAAAGAATTTGTAGAGAAGCAAGTGAAATTGTCAGAATCAGTGCTCAAAACTTGCGAAACGAAAGAAAAGCTT